ACCACTGCAATAATGTTCCAGAAATGTGATAAAAATTCTTGTCTGCCTCCCATCTGTATTCTCACCTTCAAAACCTGGAGGCTTAAAGGCCCGGGGCCTTTGTATTTATTTACATACATCTTCCTTTTCTAACATACCTTTCTCTTGTGGTCACCCACAAATACTACCCCCTCTGCTAACATGCACTAAACACAGACAGACCAAGGGAACTAAGGTTAAAACCCAGCAGATTATTTTAACAGTGCAAGTTGAGTTAGAGACAGCAACACCCTCTAAGGTTATGAGACTAACAAGCTTGTGAAGACAAATTCACTGAGTAAAAGCAAACCGCAGCTCCAAGCTGAGACACCAGCCCTGCCTGTGGTCCAGTAACCCCAGAAGAAATGGAGCCCGTTCCTGTCTCAGGGCTCTCCCAGGACAGAGGGACATAAGAAATAGCTTCCAAATATACTGAGGTGAAGCTAGCCAGCAGAGATAACCTTCCAAATGGCACACTGGTTGTCACCCTTCAGGTAAGAAAGGCCAGCTGTTCCATCATGTTCATAAAGCCTATAATATCCTTACTCTTAAATACTGATGGGATGCACAACCACAATATAGTGCCATATTGAGCACCTGTATACAGTAGGTACTCAATCAAGCATAGGACCAGTTATCTCCAACAAGATACTGTGAGTTATCAAAGACATTGTTTTCTCTCTTGTAACTAAAATAAACAACATACTTTTACCTTTAATTCTGTTTTGTATGGAAAAGCAAAAAGATACAAGTGGAAGGCAAATTATTATATAGAAGATGAAGAGAGAGGAGAAGGAGAGAGTTGAATGCAAGCAAGAATGAGAGGGCAAAGGATAGAGGCACGGTGCACTTGATAGGTTTACTGTTTCCAAAACCATGCTCCTTTTAATAAGACAACTAAGGAGGAATACTTTCATTTTCTTTTCTGACAGCTAGAGCATAAATGGTTGCTGCAATAATATCAAAAATTATTGGATATTTTGAGCATTCTTGCTAGTGAGGCACCGGCATTACAGCAAATTTGAAATACTGGCCCCAAGGTGCCATAGGCATTTTGTTTTTCCAGTGCAAGGTGTCCATTGCAAGAAAGGAGGGATACATGCTGTTTAGTGAACAGCATGCTGGCCAGATACCTTGTGTGGACAGCATCACCCGACACTCTGGGTTCAAGCTCGGCCATCTTTTGCAAACAGCATTGATCACAGTAGATGTTTCTCCCAGAGATGATCAAAACTGAGAACAGTGTTTACAAATCACCATCCCAGAACAGAACTCAATTTCTGACATGCCACCTCTACAAATATTTCAAGAAACTTGTCTGGCTCCAAGGTATGTTCGAGCCGGTCAAATCTCAAAGAAACTGACTACTTACGACTCCAATCTAGTTAGCACCCATCTGAGGGGAGCATGAAATAAGTGTTCAACCCTCATCATTTTACAACATTTTAAAATGTCCTCAAATATATCAGAGAACATATCACTCTAATTTAACTTCCTGGTATAAAAAGGCAACATTATAAAGCAAAGAATTGATAAGGCAAATATTTCATTCATTACAATTTTCAAAGTGGATATCAAACATCAAATAAACTCTAGAGACCTTTTCTATTAAACTAAAATCTATTTGCAGGATAAGCCACACTGACTGTTAAGTACCAGCCCTGATTACTAGGCAGTACTGCCATGCCCTGAAGCCTTTAGAGTGGCAACATTTACTCAGCTTGGCAATCATAGTTTAACATACTAAAGACTTTCTTCTGTAAAGGCACTATTGGGTAAAGTGCCTGCCACTCAAGCATAAGGACCTGAGTTCAATCCCCAGCACCCACATAAAGAGCCAGACATGTTGACACACACTCATAATCCCAGTGTTGGTAAGGTAGAGGCTGGTGGATCCTGGAATTCACTAGCTAGGCAGTCTGGTCCAATTGTCAAGTTCCAGGTCAGGGAAAGATGCTGTCTCAAAAAACAAAATGGAAGGCTCCTGAAGACCTGAAGAAAGACACCCAATTCTGGCCTCTATTGGCATCTTCCTGTACATTCTCTCTCTCTCTCTCTCTCTCTCTCTCTCTCTCTCTCTCTCTCTCTTTCTCTCTCTTTCACACACACACAATAGACTTCTACATGGAAAAAGAGATGACTGCCTTTGTTCATTATTTGTCAGAACTCCTATAATTTGTATTAGGGTGATCACGATGGAGAGAGACAGTGCCAAATTCCTATGTATTCCACACTGGTAACCATTTACAGTTCTGCATCTCTCCCCGGGGTGTTTCTAAGAATCATTTATAACCTATCAAGACAAAGTGAAAGCAACACACATATGTCTTGAGCGCCATGAGGGAACTGAGCCGAAAGCAACATGATGGAGAGAGGCAGGAGGAGAGGAGGAAGTGACGCGGATCTGGCCGGTTCAGATCACACCTTCAAGAATTGCACTTCAACGGAGAAGAAGAAGTGGAAAATTGGCATCAGTCAATAAAACAGCAATTTCTCCCTCTGCTTTCTCAGCTGTTATTGAGCAATGCCCTGTTGGGGCTGAAGGTCTTTGCTGAACCTTTGGTTGACTTACAATTAGTATTGTAACAAGAGCCTATTTCTGCATGAAGGGGGCAGCTGTTGAAATTTCCCAATGCAGATTCACCCTGCATACATCTCCAATTACTTTTTGATTCATATAAAAAAAATGGCCTCCACAGAGAAGTGATCAACTGGTAAGCCCATAGAAGATGTGGTATAAAAGTAAAGCAAAAATCGAAAGGTCATGATGTCCTGCTAGATTCATGCAAACACGTAGACCATTTTCCACAATGACTAGCAAATGATAATGAGTCCAGGTGTTTATGACCTATCTGGCATTATTTAAAAACAATTACTTATCACACAAAAAAACAAAAAATGTTCAGGCAATTCAGACAGACATTGAATCTATGGTTAGACATTATGAATAAGATTTATTGAACTTGATTATTTTTTATCAGTCATGTTTCATCAGGCAATGTTTCCCTGTACACTAAGTGATATGTGTCATTAACCCCTGAAAAAAAAACTAATCAGAGAAGGGTAAAATGAATATCATAAGCAGTCTTAAGCCCAATCAGAAATAATTTTGTTTAAAACAACTTTGAAGTGTTATTGAGAGGCCGAGTCGGGGGATTGCTGTAAGTTCAAGGCCAGCCAGGGCTATCTAGAGAGACCATGCCTTAAAAGGACAAAAAAGGTAGATTTTTCTCCATGAAATCTCCATGAAGCCTATGAGCTTAAATTTAAAACTAATAGCAATTTGAAACTATAAATTTATAAAGTAAACTCAAAATTGGCAATTTGAGACTTGAATGCAGCAAACAATCAAATAATGGTATCCAGGTCATCTGTCAATAGGCAAACAGAAGAAGAATGCAGCTGTGTTCCTTAAGAAACATAGCATACTATCATAATCTCTCCTCTAGAAGCACAGTTGTCCATACTGCATATACTCCTAAAACACATTATTACATTCTCACATCCTGCACTTTAGAACATCCAAAGTTGAGGCAAATAAAAGGAAATATTGCAATTTACTTTAAAGTTCCTAGCTGCCACCAGAATATTCTTTTTCTCTAGACGGACTCTCTGTATAAAATACGCAAGCATTCAGTTACCGTATTCAGTGTCAGAATGTAATAGTGATGACTTAGGTTTAAGTGCATAGGAATCTAAGTTCATCCATTTGGATAAAAACAATGAAATAGTCGACTAGTCCCTTATTTTTCGTCCCTCTAATTCTGTGGTGTCCCAGAAACATCTGACTGCATTTACAAGTATTCAGAATAGCACTGTCCACAGGCTACAGGATAAGCAACTGACATTATGTCTGGGCTGGATGTATCAGCTCTTAGGGTAATATCAATGTTCCCTCCAGCACACTCCTCACTACCTCCTAATATCTCTGGGTCACACAGGGAGAAGTTAGAATTCTGCGTGTGTTAAGGCAGCACACCAACTTTCCTCTGTATTCACAATCAACTCACGTCTCATGGATCTACACTCATCCTGGATTCAGTGGGCTCCTGCTAATCAAAACCCTTAATGACATTCTTGACCTCAATGTATGATTTCCAGTTGCCATTGTCAGTGTCAACTAAAGAAACTTAATCTGATACACACCCTGAGTAATACACCTAAAAAAAAAATAATCCCGGTAAAAACTGCAAAAGGGAAAATCAACATAGAAGTTACATAAAGAATACTGCATCCTTAATTTTAGTAAGCTTGTTGATTATAGCCATGTAGAAGTTACCTAAGCAACCAATCTGAAACACATGCAAAACCCAAATATGTCTGCAGCTAGAAGTTTGTTGCTGGGCACACGGCAGAAACCTGTCAGATATGTTTGTGGAAGCGGGAATTTGGATTGCACAGATTCATCTCTTGAGCATACCATACCAAAGCATAGATGCTTTGGACAAAACCACAGAAATAATACAAAGTAAAAAAAATAGATTAAGACCAAAAGAACTAGAGCCATTTAGTTGTGAGTAAACTTATGAAATCGTGCATATCCATGGATATAAAGTGGTCTCGTTTTATTTCCAAAGTATGGTACACTTAATAAATTATTATACTCTAAATGTTTGTAAGGGGTATTATTAAAAGCCTCTGAAAATTACAAGGGATGTTATTAAATCATGTGAACCAAACAAAATGAATTGAATGGCCAAACTTGCTGTGATCACTAAGGACAGGTGACTCTAACGATCAACAAGAACCATGCCAGTCTCCTCCACTTCTTGCCACTTGGGAGCATTCAATCATCTTCTAGTGTAGTACATAATCATTGATGATCTGGGAATTCATAAAACCGATAAATACTGTGATCCAAACAGAGGACATGAGGAAGAAAAAAGGAAAGAAAGGAAGAAAGAAAGAAAGAAAGAAAGAAAGAAAGAAAGAAGAAAGCAAGCTGATGTTTCCCTCTTGCCAGGGAAGTGAAGAATCCTTACCTTTCTGTACACCAACATGTTGGGTGATTCGTCTGCCACCCCGTTGCTGGTCTGTCCATAATTATTCCCCTGGGCCATTTCACCCAGCACTTGGTCCCTCTGTTACAGAGATTATCAGTTTGCCCTGCAAAGGATTAGAGAGGCTCCAGTGAGATCCTGATGGGAGTCCTCAAGGGAACAGACTCCCCTGACTCATCTTCATGCTCACAGTACCCAATCACAGGGAGAATTCTGTCATCCCCAGGCTGACTGGAGGATGCAGGACAGGGACTTTAAAAAAAAGAAGAGAAAAAGAAAAAGAAAAAAAAAGCAAGGAGTTTGCAGCTGTAGTAGTCCCAAGAAATTTTAACTGACAACCTTCCAGTTAGAAATAAGACATCTGACTAAGGTTTCTGTGGACTTCATTTTGTGGACACTCTCTTATTAAAAGTGTTAGGTACTCACTTAAAACCCTGTGGTTTGCGCTTCCCTAGTACACACAGCTCTCTCGGATACTTGCAGCTCCCATTGATAGTTCTCCTCAAAGGGCGACAGCCAACACCCACAGCAGCCCACTTTTCTCCCAGTAGTAGTCCAGTAGTTTCCCATGGCAGGCAAGTCAGAGGCCCCATCCCCACAAGTGTTCTCTCCATTCCTCGCGTTCCCCACACAGCCCGGGCAGAGGCTTCTCCACTTTGATCTGCCTTCACTGCCAGCCCATGGTTCCTCTGCTGCTCCTACCTCCCTCAGAGCCCTGAGTCTGGACCTAATCCTGACAAATCTTTGGAAGAAAGCATCCTAATTAGGTCCAGGCAACTGGAGGCTAGTGGGGAAGTCAAATCCTGAGCGAATCACCTGGCTCACCTCGGAGAGCAAGCGAACTGCACAAGCCTGGAGCAATCAGAGCGGGCTGAGTCCCAGCTCATCCAGCTCGGCCCTCGCTCTGTCTCGGAGGCAGCAAATGGCAGGCAGCCTTG